CTAATGGGTTGAATCTCAGTTTTAATTCCCTTACACTGTTGATGTAGATCTTTGAGTCTGTATTGTCTGCCAACACAGCTTTTCCACCAGACATCCCAGGCAATGCAGAGTTCGAACAATGCTTTGAATAGCCAATGAGTCACTACCCACAGACTTTGACTGTACTATCACGATGATATGGTACAGAGGACAGGCATTTTCTATGTGAAGGTTACTGAAGAAGACAGTATGAGAAATAAATGCACTCCCTGCCCATTAATAGCAACAAGAAGATAGGTGGACTTGCAACGATCATTTCAGCTTAAAAAATGCATTCAAAACATGAACAGCGGTTTTTGCTGTGTGTAGTACCTAACATGGGCAGCTTACAATGTACCAGTTTTCATAGAATATGGAGTGCAATATTTAGCTCATTCTCCAATAAGGGTGGAGTATAGAATTTGGAGAAATGCATTAAAAATTGTATATCGATAACATTGTTTAACACAGTAATAAGATCCCAAGGCACTAACTGATACATGGGAAAACTGATTCAACAGAGAAGAGATTAGGAAGGTTGATCAAAAGCTCAGTCAAAGTAGTATCTAAGGTAAGAGATGATGGAAAGGCAAAGAGTGGGAATCGCAGAGCATTGAACCTAGATGGCTGAAAAGAAAGGGTAAAAAATGCACAGCAGACTGAGTCAGTGTAACGGTGTATGTTTGGCAGGGTACATGGAAGGCTAGCAGAAGTTAATAGAGATAGAGGGGAGCAAGGTCATGGGGGTCTTAACTAACAATGTGTTGAATAAATGTGCAATGGTGTGCATACTGAATTAGCTGTACTCGATTCAGCGGTAATCTGTCATTAAGATGAAAAATGCTTCATTGAGCAGTTGGATGCAGAAATGCTTTTTTAGGGATCGGAGGGGTCACTGAGTCTCTCTGCTGTTAGATAGGAATAAGTTGTTAAGTGTCAGACTGAGGCAGGCGGGTGATCCATCATGGCTGCTGCCTTAACAAACGCAGCCTGACCTTGTCCTGATCTTGTTATTTCAGTCTAACATGGGATCAGGGGTAAATGGGCCATGAACTGTCACCCCTACCCCCTGGTGAGGGGTCAGCCTGCCTGACCTCATGAAACTGCCAATCAAAATGAGTAATAGAGAGAACATGAACCTAGACAGAAGCATGTTCTAACTGGACAGGATTTCAGGCACAACTTTCAGTTCCCCAGTGAGACAATACTACAGATTTAAAACATAACCTAATACAAGGACATTCCATTTAACTATGCTTTGTGTAATGGGATAATTTTATTAAAAGAAAAGAAATTCTCAAGATACTTTGTCAGACTAGGAAATAATGTAATATGAATAACTGCATGAAGACAGGTCTTTAATACCCAAGTTTGGCATCACTAAATCACTACTCAGTCTAGATTACTCCCTCTCCAGTGCCTGGGAGGAAGGTTTCTTTTGGGGCAAACACATGCCAAATCACAAATTTGTATGTGATTTCATAAGAGAAGAAATTTTTCCCTTTGTTGGTGTCTGCAATGTGAGCTACAATCTTCACTAGTTTTCTCAATGCTAGAGTGAGTGGATCTGCAGATTTTCCAAAGGTGCAAAGCTTATGCAAGTTACAATAGAGAAGCTGGGGAGCTAAGTATACATAGATGTGTGTAAACTATAACAACGTTATTTTGTTTGAAAAAAAAAACAATTGTAAAGTCTCTTACCTATGGTGCAGTTTCTCCTGAAGGTGCAGTCTGCAGTTGGAGTGTGTTTCAGCAAACGTTGATCATTCAGCACCTGAAGATTAGCCATTTACAAGAGCTCGGACAATGAATGCTGGCAGAATGTGGGAGGCATCATTATCAATCCCTGCCTGTCCTCACTCACTGTTACCACGTATTGTTCTGGAAACATTGGCGGACTTTTCCCATTTCTAGCCCCAACATTACTGGGTTCAACAACAGAGCCCTGATTACTGCTGCAGCTGAGTTTACAGAAATCATTAATCAATCTGGTCTCCATCCCATCCTGGGTTATATGTTACTAACCGAATCATGACAACATATAGTCTTCAAAGCAACAAAACAGTTCATTTGGCCTGTTGGGTCCACATTAGTGAATGTTTCACACTAGCCTCCCTCTACTCTTTCTCATTTAGAACCATCAACACATCCTTCAATTCCTTTTTCTCATGTTTTCCTAGCTTCCCCATAAATGCCACTTATTTGGTTCAATTATTCCTTCTGTTATTGAGTTCCACATCTAATCACACTCTGTGTAAAAGGTTTCTCCTGAATTCCCTATTGGATTTATAAATTAATTCTATATTTATGGTTCCTAGGCTGGCCTCACCCTGCAAGTGGAAACATTTTCTCCACTCTTGTCCTATCAAACCCATTCATATTCTTAAGGACCACCAACATGATACAATTCAATCTGTTTACCAGAGAAAAGAGCCCGTCTCTTCAATACCTTTTGATAGGTATAGGTTTTAGCATCTACAGTTCACTGTACAGTACTGTGTGTGTAGTTAGTGTGGTCTAAGCCTCTATACAAATACAACACAATGACCCGGCTTTTCAATTCTATCTCTCAGAAATTCATTCTTTTGAGTTGTTTATTTTTTGTGGTTTTAAAGACCTGCCAAGACGTTTAGTGATTTGTTTATGTGTACCCCCGATTCTTCTGGTCGCATGCTTCATTTAGAGAAATTCCAGTAAGTATTTGGCCTCATTATTCCCTTCCTACCTGAGTTATCTATCTTGAAGTTTTTTTTTGCTAATTATACATCTATTCTGCAAATCTACTGATGTCCTCCTGTAGCTGGTCACTATCCAGAAAGTTTGATGCTCACTTGTTGAGCATTTTCAGCACAAAGGGCAATAGATTTGGGAGTATGAAGAGAATTAAAGGATCTGCAGGAAAGTGGAGATGGATTAGACATGATTTGGTTGATTGACATAGAAGGTTTGATGGGTCAAATATCCTATTCCAGCTCCTATATTTTGTGTTCTCACGTCACAAACCTCCCACTTCTACTTTGGGGTCATCAAATTTTGAAATTGTACTTCTAATTCCTGAATCTAAATTGTTTACATAAAAGGTGATCAAAAGTGTTCTCAGTGCCAATCCTTATGGAACACCTCTTTCCACTTTTTAAACCTGTAACCCTACTCTCCCTTTAGTTTTGGAGGCAGTTTGCTATCCATTTAGCTGCGTGCTCTGCGGCTGTTCTGACTTTAGTCATGAACCTATTTAAGCCAGATGATAGTTGAAAGCCAAATACGTTTTGTTAATTCACTCCATTGTATTATCTTTCTTCATGCTTTTTGTTACTACTTCAAAGTATTTCACTAAAGCTGTTGAAGCATGAACTTTGGAATCCCTGTAGACATTTTTAAAATTCTTTCATAGGCTGTAAACTGTGGCAAGCTAGGCCAACAATTGGTGCTCATCCCGAATCACCCTTGATCTGAATGACTTGCAAGGCCATTTCGGAGGGTAGTTAAGGGTCAACTAGGGGTCCACTTGTGGTGCAGAGGTAGAATCCCTTTGCCCTGGATATGGAAGCCTGGGTTCAAGTCCCACCTGCTCCAGAGGTGTACAATAACATCTCTGAACAGGTTGATTAGGAAAAATAGGTTAAATTAAAAAGTCAACTAGATCTGGAGTCACATGGAGGCCAGCCCAGGTAAGGATGACAGATTTCTTCCCTTAAAGGACATTAGTGAGCCAGTTGGGTTTTTACATTAGTTAATGATAGTATTATGGTAATAATTACTGAGACAAGCCTTATATTCCAGTTTTATTCATTGAATTCAGATTTCATCTGGTGCATTGGTGGGAACTGAACCCATGAATCTAGTACATTAGTGTGGGCCTCTTGATTACTAGTCCAGTGGCATTGCAACAACACGACCAGCTCCTTGTTAGATTTTACTTCCAGTTTCTGCATGTGTTTCTATTGCATTTTTGACCAAGGATTCTCTGGTCTTTCCTACCACTGACATTAAGCTAATTTATATATTGTTTCCTTGTTCCATCTTTTTATTATAGACAAGAATCATTGGGGATTCTATGCTGTCAAAGTTTGATTAATTTGTCAATGACCTCTTCCTTTTCTACCTTAAAATTTTCCACATCTTCTTTAATCACATGTGACTTTATGACATGGGCCCACCTGCTACATTTCATCGGCACGCGCGGCTCAATTCTTAAGAATATCAAGTCCTTGTTTACTGTATGGAAAACAAGGACATCAGAATCTTTATCTTCCCAACAGTTTGATAGGGCAGAAGGTAAAAAATAAGGGAAATGGATTAAGGTAGGCTTTTCTTTTGGTGGCAGAAGTGGGGAAAACAGGATGAGGGGATGGTGTTGATATCTTCTCCATTCACACATGTCTGTTAAAGTGTTCTGTAGTCAGTCAGTACCCAGGTACAACCCACATGTGACTTTAAACCAACCCCAGCCGCTGATGTATCCAGCTCCAATCATATCATTGAAGGTTAGACAAAGACGCATAGAATGGGCCAAGAAGGAAGTATAATACTGGAATATTTGTGCTTAAAGTCAGGAATAATAGATAGGTTGGATATTGTGCAGGAGAAGATGCAGAGTAACACTTCTCTGTCCTCCCTAGCTGCGCACTCTGGCACCAATTTGAAATGCACCTCTTCCTGAACCAGAGTAAGGTTTCAACTTCCCCCAACAATCAGGCTTTGCATTCTTATAATGAGCTGCAGAGTGCCCATTTTGTGCTGTGAACCCACAGCCATTATAAACTAGATTGAGATTCCTTCCATGATTATATGACACAGTCCTGCTCACATTCTTAAGTCATCTGCCTGAGCTAGTTGCAGAGATGGACAAACTTTTATTTTATATTCAATTTCATTTCAATATGCTCTGTACTGCCACTTACTGCACTCCCAGCTAAGTCTTAGAAACAGTTCTAAAATGCCATGGATTGTGCAAACTGCAAAGTATTATCCTCAAACACATCTTTTGTAATAATTCATTTTATTTTATGATAAAAATTCACAAAAAATCAATTATGTTGCTGGGTTTGGGTAGGGATGGTAAAATCATCTTTTTTTGTTACATGTCCCTTGCAGGAATATATAAACCTATCTCACTCCAACCCATACCCTCCACCCACCAAACCTGGGAAAACTTGTAAAATAATCTCAAAGATGGTGCCTTAGAAGGAAAGCAGGAATAGCAACTCCAAACACAGTTCTGCTGGAGCCTACCACCATAGCAGACTGATCAGAATCTCTCGTGCAGCAAGCTGATCAGGATCTCTTCTGAATCAAACAATCAGTGACTCTCAAATATTATCAGATTACACATCATCTGCTGTACAGCATACAGTATATGATTAAACAGGTTGGATTCAGCTCTCTCCTTAATGTAGGCAGCCTTTGCTCCCTGAAAATACAACTTTGTCCACTTGGGACACCTGCACGTGTGTGGAGTCTCTGGTCGGTCACTTCTTGTTTGGTCTTCAAAATTACTGTGCAGTCACTAAACCTGGCAGTCTACTGGATGGTCACTCTAATATTCAGCTCTCCTCATCAAACCAACCATTGTTTGAATACCATGATGTATTATTCCTGATTCCTCTTACAATAACAGAAAATAGTGGCAGAAATTTGTCCAACACATTTTGTGCATACAGTGCAGAGACAAGACCCCTCTGTGTTATAATTGGGGTTTTAAGTTATAGTCTTTCCTTTTCTAGAGAGCTAATTTTCTAACTGTAATACTATAAACTTCTTCTGAGCATGTGCACCCATGTACACACTAAGTATACTTACAATAGGTCTCAGTGCAGCTGTGGTTACACAGATAGTACTCTGTCACAAACTTGTTCCAAATCCCATCAGAATCTGACCACATTCAACGGCTATTTCTCAACAGGCAACTGCACAGCATTCTGCGATCAAAGACACATCAATTCACTCCTTGCTATTACTTTGTGCTCTTTTGACAGAAGCCAGAGAGTGAGGGTGAGGAGAAAGAGGATTTTCTTAATTGCTGATAACTTTATTCAATCTGAAGAGAGGGTAGATGGAATTTTTATTCATATCCCTGTGCTTCTGGCTGAAATTATAAACCACACCAGATAATATCCTCCCCATCTGACTTAACCACTCATCGCCAAGACGGTAGCAGTCATCTCACGGTCACTCCCACACATTGTCAGAAAAGTGACTTTGTAATACTGCATCACAGAAATACACTTTTGAATCTATACCCATGCTGATACTATATAATTTCCCCCTCAACCCACTGCTTTCCCTATTTGTGCTAACAATTCACCTGGTTTATCAATTTGCAAAGGCAGTGACTCTAAGTTGTGTGACAAGCAAGGATCTGGAAAGAGTAGCCAGTGGACCTGGTAACTCTTTTCGCAAATGCTATTTCCCTGACCACTCCATAGGGCATTTACTGCCCTGAGAAATGAAATCCATTTAGATATCATACTAGTGCAATAAAGTAATCTGTTACATTATGCTGCAGCTAGTTCTAAATGCAGCTTCTGTACACAAGTTGTTCCTGTGAGCTTTTCTAAATATTTACATTAAAGTAATATTACAGGTATGTACAGATTAGTAAAATATAAAGAACTCTCAACTCTGTCACAATTTTTCTCCGTAAATACAATATATAAAATGTAAAATACAATTTGAACAGAACCTGCTCCGCATTAAGTTCTTGTAATAAACTGTCTCCAAAACTAAGCATGTCATCAATCCCTCACCTGTTTGCTTCGACTAGGCTTTAAACTGAGGTTCAAACGAAATTAGTTCATGAGATGCGTACTCATACAATATACTACCATACATGAGAATCAATGTTGTTTGTCACAGAACTTGTATTATAAGTGACTGTTCTCTAGAAAGGCTTCTAGGAGTCCAGCTCCAGGTTCTCTTGGTTCTGGGTGGCTTGTAACTTGAGCTGCTGCTCATAGTAGAGGCTTTTGGCGTAATTAATTTCTTGTGAGATCTTCAGTGCAAGAGACTCTGATTTCACATGGACCTAGAAATAGAAACACGTTTGAGAAAACATCAATGACAAACATATAATGTCATTCATCCATGTATGTTAAAGATTATCACAGAATCCCCACGATGCAGAAAGAGCCCATTTGGCCATCAAGTCTCCACCGACCCTCCGAAGCGCATCCTATAAATATGTACGCAAAGAAAATTCAGTTGCTTGGGTTTTGATGGGTTGCCAGGGCTTGAGCGCCGTTTTGGCAACTCTGTTTCTTAGAATGCAGGACTCTAACCTCTCCCATTTTTATTTTTCTCTTACTGGAAATGTCGATTCATACTGGTTGCACAGGTACTGTCAATGTGTCTCTGAAATGGCTGAGCTTCATGTGTGAACCTATTTAGTGAGTCTCAAAAGTATTTCACTGTTGCAGGGAGACAGATGTAAGTCCTGTGCTCACCTGATTAGGAGTATAAAGTCTACCTAATATTTTCTGCTTCCCTAGTTCAGGAATCAAGGACTAAATCTAAAACACCCCAACTGTTGTTCCAGCTTAGATAAGATGATTCAATATGGACTCTGGAATTAAACCAGGGACCTGTTTTGTCTCACAACGCAATTACACTGAGTAAAATGAGTTCTAATACTTACCATTGGTTTGTGATGTGATGGCCCAGGTATGGCCACACCACTGCTCGAACTTTCAGCTTTTTTTGTCAGCTGTAAATAAGCCCTCCCATGATCCTTTGTGATGAGGCAGTGGTACAGGTCATCATATTTGACCTCTAGGAAAATGGCATCCCTGTCAATATAGTCGCCATGTTTCAAAAAGTACACTGCCTTCGATGATATGAGAACACAGTAACTGTCAATCTGTTCCACAGCAATGAAACTGGAAAAGCAAAAGGAACACAGCAGTTGCACTGGTTAGTTTTGGTTAAACAAAAAACTCTCAGGTAGCGTCAAAACACAATTATTAGGACAGAGATAGTAGGAACTGTCGATGCTGGTGTCTGAGATAACAAGGTGCAGAGCTGGATGAACACAGCAGGCCAAGCAGCATCAGTGGAGCAGGAAAGCTGACGTTTCGGGTCTGGACCTGAAATGTCAGCTTTCCTGCTCCTCTGAAGCTGCCTCGCCTGCTGTGTTCAGCCAGTTCTACACTACAATTATTAGGACAGTTGTTTTAGTTAATGGAAAGACAGGTGGAAGTGATATCAATAGATAGTGGGCAAAGTTCATTGTCAAGAAATAAGTGAAAAAACTGGTGTGGCTAAAAAGCATGATTTACATTTCGTAGTGTTTTGTTTCTGTAATTCGAGGAGGAATGCCATTATTTAATCATAAATATTTGACTTTGTTGGAAATGAGATGATAGGAAGTATATGGGCATACTTGTGATCAGGCTTTCCCACCAGCTGGCAGATTACATACATGTCAGAAACTACAGATGTCCAACCCATGGCTTTCTGCCTAATCAGTATAATGGATGGAACTGCAGGTCAAAAATCAACTATCTTCAAACTCTTTTTCTTCCAAGCACCACTTTCTGCTGAAGTGCAATAACTTGAATGCAGAAGAGTTCAGAAATTTTACATCTAGTCTAATAACACTGAAATTCCAAAGTAAACGTTGACAGCCATTTTATTCATCAATGGAGGCATCATGTCTTCCTCTAAACATAATTTTCTTGCCCTATTTAAATACATTCTTCCTCCTAATTGGCTGTAAAGTGCTTTGAAGTACATGGTGGTCATGAAGTGCTAAATAAATGCCAGTCCTTTCTCTACTCCACTCAATGCACACGCACCACAACAAACTGAGGCAGATGCTGTCTTTCCTTGTCATTAGCTATAACTATCATGTTACCGAGGTCAGAGTCACCCAGCATTCACTCTGCCCAATTTTACAATCCACTGATTTCTGAACAAGATATAGAACCTAAATTACAACCAAAAGAATTTTGTGTTTTAAAAGTTTCTTTGGCTTAGTAGCTTTCTCAAGTCTGTTCAAAGTTTGTGGGTGCAAAAACATTACCAGGACATGAGCACTGCGAGCCAGCAGTACTGAGGGAGTGCTGCACTGTCAGAGGCATCTTTGGATGAAATGCAAAACCAAGGCCCCTCCTGCCTGTTTAGATTATGTTAAAGATTTTATGACATCATTTAAAAGAAGATAACTGCTTTGGTGTTCTGCTCATTATCACTGCTCCAAAGAGCAGCTCAAAAAGCATATTAACTGGCTATTCATCTTGCTGACAATTTGTGAGTTGTTTCTGAGGAAGAATGATGTTTAATGTTTCTGATGCTTCATTTGCGTATACAACAAGTTCCTGCTTCAAACTAATGCAATGGGGAGGAAGGACTGCGTGGGGTGGAGGGCCAGGGGTTGAAGGGGGGAGTAAATGTTTGAGAAAACAACTGCCTCAAAATGGCTACTGCAGTTGCTGCATAACGATCCACTTTTACAAATGGTGTGGCTGTAAATCACTGGACAGAAAACAAATTAAAAATATACTGATGGAACAAACTACAATATAGGTTAAAGAAGTCAGATTAAAGGTAATTTTTGAATAAAGACCACTTAGATGACACGACGGAATGTAAAGTGTTCACTAAATCTTCTGGGAACATTCTCCCCATTGAGCACGCACTAAATTATTTCATTTTCAACCAGTAAAGGAACAAATATAGATGCTACAATTGGTGCTCTGTCCCTTGGCCAAAGAAAAAAATGTGGTTGCGATCCTTGCCTTCGATTCATATCCAGTGTTGGCAAGTATACATGCATGTACATGCCACATTACAGATTTGGTCTCAGCTTTAATGCCAAGCAGCTTCAAAGCTCATATATAAAGAAAGAATGGTTATTTGAATGACATCCTGGAGAATGCGCGTTTTTGTGAAAAATCAAAAGATTTGAAAACCAAATCTGCACAACATCAAACTGGCACATTTGGGAATGAAGTTTGTATTTTAGTTCTAGCATCTACGTTCTGGGAATTTGCTGTGATGGTTGTGGTTGTGGTGGGGGCAGATTGACAGATTCCAGGAGGTTTGAAGACAGACCCCTAAGGTAGTTCACGATAGTTTGAAATAAAAAACCAAGTCTGCATGATGTAATCCTCTAGGTACCGTAGGATTGCCACTGCAAAGCAGAAAGCAATTACCCTGTGCTGGCCGGGAAATGAAACACTGGCTGAGATTCCACGCATCTGGAATCGCTTAGGAAGAACAGTGGCTTCACTCTCAAAACCATCTGAAGGCTGGAGGAGCAACAAAGTTTAAAAAAAAAATCAAGCTTTGAAGTTTTAACTTCTTTACCAACAACGGATTCAAAGGCTTTGTCCCTAGTTATTACTGTATGTTCAAACAGGGTTAACAGAGAACAAATGTTTACTGCGTGACACTGTGCCTGTCAACAAGCCAGGAAACAGGAGAGACATCAGGATTTTATGACAGACAGCTGGGGACAAAGCAAAGTCTACACACATACACACTGTGCAAAAAGACTAGACTAGGATAAAATAGACCTATCATATAGTAAAGGCTGTGGATCATGGAGTATATGGAGTACATGTCATATACCACTACATGTAGAGATGATGTATTTAAAAATTGAATTGCTAGTCAAATATATCTTAATCTCTTTTAAATTGTTAGTGAGAGCTGACTCCGTAAAAGAAGCGTAGTGTTGCAAGTACATCCATTCTATTATGGAAGCAGGTAGTTGTGCAAGCAGAATCACAGAACTGTATAAAAGGGAATGGATAAATATTTGATTTTTTAAGAATTATGGGAGAAAGACTGGATAGCATAATTAAATGGTTAGCTCTTTTTGAGAGCCAGCATTTTTATAACAGACCACATGACATCTTTGAGTGGTGCAATTGCTGTCACCAGTGATGACTGCAACTATTATACTTTACATTAAAATTCAATTAATTAATCATTGTCCTCTAACATATCAGATATGTTTTTCATCAAAACAGACACTCCTGCAACAGTCCGTTGAAAAACAAGTCATTGCGTCACTTAATTCCTGTAAGACTGCAGCAGCATTACAATAAAAAAAAGGTTTCAACAAACTTTCAACAACATTAAAAATCCTATGATTTACATTATTATTTTCCATGTTTGCACTTATTTCAGAAAATCTATTTGTAACGTTTGGAGAATTCTCCATTCCCAGCAGGCCATGATGGCACTGGTTTACAAATTACATCACAGCACTGAGATTTTTCTGCCACAAACGTAGTGATCCTTTAGTTCTTTGATACCTCGCCTAACATAATTAGTGTTTCTTCTTGCGTGGCCCTAAGTAGTGTATGATAGCAGACCATATTACCATGGATGGCAATACAAACAAGCAGAGTTCTATGCTCATGAAAGCTCATTTTCTAGCAGATGTTACCAGCAAGCACTCAGGAAAACAGCTTAGTTTCTCCCTCTAGCTCAGGAGAGCTGAGGTCTATCATAGCAGCCTTGTTTTAACTGAATAAAGACCAGGGTTGAAGCTGGTATTTTCTAATGCAGCACTTCTGAACTCCACACAGACTGCTAGCCTCCAATAGTTAAGGCAATGGTCTTACCAAGAAGATAGATGATAAGGTAATGATTAAAGCGATATAAAAATTTCCCAAAAGTAGGCTACTCTCCTCTTGATAATTTGGCAACTGATTTTAGCAGGTTTATATAGTGTTTTGATGCATCTCACATGAACAAATTTATGCCACTACCCAAGCAGAATAAGAGTAGTATCATTTAAACGCTGGAAGAAATGGGTGGATGGAGGAAGACAAGATACTGGTAACTTACAATTCAGCCTGAATATTGTCAGTCACTTTGAAAAGCTGCTCCTGTCCTTCGGCCTGTTTCTCACTATATCTGGGTAGGAGGCCGTGGGGTCCAATGCAACAGCGTGGCCTTCGAACTCTCTGGTTAAGCATCCTGTTTGAAATGTAACACAGGATAGATCAATTAGAACACCTGTCTGTTCAGTATATATAATTGCTTGCTGGTCATTGAGTCAGCTTTTATTGAAACACACAAGATTCTTAGGGGATTTAACAGGGGAAATGCAGAAATATTGTTTTCCCTTTGTAGGAGGGTTGAGGACCAAAGGACATAAATGAATGATCACTTATTCTGAGATTAAGATGGAGATGAGGAGGATTTCTCAGAGGGTAGAGAATCTATAGAATTTTTTGCTACTGAGGGCTGTCGAGGCTGGGTTGTTAAGCATATTCAAAGCTAAGATAGACAGATTTTTAAACAGTAAGGAGATGGAGGGTTATAGGAATAAGGCAGAAAAATGGAGTTGAGGGTTATCAGATGACCCATGATCTGATTGAATGGCGGAGAAGACTCTATGAGCTGAATGACCTAATTCTGCTCCCATATCTCATGGTTTTATCTAGTGAGGTTTAACAGTTGATGCTGAACAAGCCTGAATGTGACATGTATTGATGCTTATTATTAGTGTACAGTAAATCTCATTTATGCACAAGTTTTATGTTACATAATAAATTAAATATTTGCAAAATACTACATTAATTAGTTCAACTTGAAATATTAACTCAGTATCTCTCTCCAGAGATGCTGCCAGAATTGTTGAGCGTTTTCAGTACTTTGTTTTTATTTCAAATTTCCAACATCCACTGTATTTTGCTTTTATTATGTTGCATTAATTGGCTTCTGTTAAACAGAATGCTATTGCTATCTCAAAAGCAGCGTTAAATGTAGTGGGAAGACAACAAAAGCATCATCCATCAGAAGTAATTCATGGATAAACCACAATTATTTAACCAGTAGTTAAGTGTGCTCCACCACCAAAGCCTGGACTAATATTCCCTCTGCATATCCTTTGGCACCCATTAAACACATTCAGTAAAGGTGTCAAAAGACTGCAATTTATTTAGCTGGGTTGTAGCCAAGGTATGGAAAGAAAGTTGCAAATCAGTTACAAAAATAGAGGATCAGCAAAACCTTGTGAGCATGCTGCTAGCTTAGATAATTACAATTTCAAAGGAGCTGGCTTTCAGGCCCAACATGAACATGGACACCATAAATGAATGTGAATGCTAACAAATTTAGTGGTTCTTCATCATCCATTAGAGTATTACCTGTAAAAGAGTATTTAATGGGTTCACATTTCTCCTTAGCAGGTTGTTTTGTTTAAAAAAAGTTAATGTTAAACTCACTTGCAAGTTTTAATATTTCTTTTTTGTGTCTTACTTTCTTTGTTGCTCTTTTAGCGCTCTAAGTTCATTAAATGTTCCCTTTTCCTTATTTCTTCCCCATAACATTTGAATTGTTTCAAACATTCAACTACTTCTCCCTAATCTCTTTCACCCATGTTTCTGTTAAAGCAATACCGGTCCAACCAATTTTCTGCATAAAAAATCCCCCACTTTGTGGTTTTAGTGAATTAGAAGGAAAATCACTGCAGAAGCTGATGAAAATAAGAGGATGGGTGAAAAATACTTTAAAAAATAAACAAATAGCAGAAATATGCAATAAGAAAAGTAATCAAACATTTGAAAGCATCAAAACAAGTAGTAATGCAAATATCTAAAAAAGGCTGAAGCAAATATTAAGCAACTGGAAAAACAAGCAACTGAATCAAATGTCACTGAACTTTCCATACAGGCAATCATAAAAGTGTAACAATTAACTGAAGATATCTTATGGATAATTAGCGCTAAACTTCTTTATACAGATTTTTTCACGTGTTTAATGTAACACCCAACAGAAATCTGGCACATTCAATTCTCATCCATACTTCCCTCTACATACAGATTCTGAAGTAAGGTAGTCATAATGTGGCTCTGAGATGAAGGGTTTGCACATTTACCATTCATGGCCGTGCTGTTCACCCAGGATAGGGTATTTCCAGAGCTATCATTTTAGATGCCTCTGATTTTAGTTATTTTTGCCAGATAATTAAGGCTGTGCCCCTGCCTGAGCAGTTCAGAGGTTACAAGATCAAGAACAGTAATTAATTCTTGCAGATGTTATAAGGGAACAGATACTCATTGAACAGCAAACTCATGCCTGTGTAGTTCCAAATTTAAACACTGCACCTTAACAATTAGGAAATTCTGTTGAGACTATTAGTTGGAATGCCAGAAGGAAAAATGCAAACACCTCTGTTACAATTAGAGTGAAGGGAGTTTATGATCTTAAGTCTGACAGCCACAGCTGTGGGCTGGAACAGGAGCAGCTGGACAGAAATGCTGAAAGACTGATGTGAAAGTAGAACAAATGCTTCATTGATTTCCTGAAAGCACGGATACTGCAGAGTGTTGTACACTAAACACATGGAGCTCAGTAAATAGCCAGCACTATCCTGGGTGAACGGAGAAAATGCTCCAGTCTAGAGGCAAGGTGGTATGTACAACTGTATAGTTTGCAAGACAGGTGCACAGCAAACATCTTTAGCTCAAGACTTACTGTTGCATATGAATTCAGCGTGGGAGATCGGACTGGCTGTTGAACCTAAGCGTCTAGCCCACACAGCAAGTGGACAGTCCTGATCAGCAGAGCATTTCAGCTCTACGTGCCACCATTACTATGTGACATGTGAACACTTCAGAAGTCAGTTAATAAAAGCTGATTGGGAGGGGCATAATTATACAGAGTACATCCCTCAAGTAACAGCCATACATACATCTTTATTTGTACTAGAAAATAAACACAAGGACACAAAAGGATGCAGCACCAATCAACTCCACTCAATCTAGAGTCCGTATATGACTATTTTCTGAGGGATTTGCTTTCTAAACCAATTAAAGGCAGAGATGTCTGGATGTCAGTCTTAGATCAGGGGTACCACTTTTGCATCAGAGTTTAAAAAATGTAGTGCTTTTATGCAAGCTAGGCTGACATGTTAATTCAGTTCTGAAGGAATGCTTCATTGCCAAAAGCTGTCTTTCACGTGGGTTATTTAAGTGAAGATCCATCCATTTTCTCAGGTGGGTTTAAAGATTCCGCAGCACTCAACAATTTTCACCAATGTCAGAGTCAATATTTATCCCTTAACCAATATGACCAAAAACATCTTGCTAATACTACCCAGGACCTTGCTGCGTGCAAACTAGCTGATGCATAACAATGGTTACACTTTGAAAGTATTTCATTGCCTGAATGGTGTTTTAGGACATCGAGGTTGTGAAAGGTGCCATTATATTTCTTTCATCATCATTCTTTAAATTTGTGGCCCAAGGTTACATTCAACTATTGGCCCTGGAATCCCAGTCACTGTAGTCCAGATCCCTCAGTTATCAGTGTGCTTATGTTTCTTATGTGCTAGATTAGCTCATTTGAATTTTACAGACTTGGAGATTCCGAAAGGCCTCTTTGTAATACGCATGCCTCATTGATGAATAATTCCAAATCAAAACGTCAATTCCAGCTCCTACCACCAGCTGGTCAGCTCCGATGAAGAGTCATCTAGACTCAAAACGTTAGCTTGCTCTCTCTCCATCTTTTGTTTTCAGTTCTGAATTTTGTACTCTAAGTATATGGCGTGCTCACCATTCAAGCAAAATAGCAAATCACGATCTTTTATATACTTTCCTTTTACAGACTGCATTATATTTCCTTACATTTTCCCCAATGAAAAATTATGTAAGCCGTTTTTCAAAATTTCATCTCTGCATCGGTTTTGGGGGACTAACATGCCAAGGATGAACGGAGAAGGCAAAAAAACTGGAGAAAACCAAGGAAGTAATATGACATAGAAACTACTCATTAGTTATTTGTTACTTATTATTGGTGGTGGGAGGGATGCTGAAGTTCAACGTGAACGAAAGTTGTCAGATTTTCTACCAAAATAATTTGGCTAGTTTGGAAAGGCATGTTGTTTTTATTGGGCAATTAGGTGTTTCAACACCAACAACTCTGAATGAGACATTAACAACTTTAACTTGTGTTGAACTGATCAATCAGTGGCTCTGAAATTACATCATGCGAATATTATGCAATGGTATGAAGTTGCCTTGCTTGTTATTTTAATGAAGGCGTTAGTCCATTTAAATAGAAGCTCTGTAAAGTTGCGTACAATGGCACTTCATACAAGACTGTAAAGCACTTGCATATCCAGAGAAAAGTGTCAGACAAAAGTCAAAGTGTAGTGGATTGCAGAGGTGGCAACAGCTCAATCCTCGTAAATCACAGCACCAGTGTACAAGAATCAATGACAAGTAGGATGATTCATAAATATTATTGGATCTACTTAAGATCAGTAATTTCCACAGAGAATGTGTAATTTCTTACTGTGTTATGGAGACCATGCAAGAAACAAGTTTCTTAACTGGTCTCAGTTAAAAACATTTTTTACAGAAAGGATGTCTCCTAATTAAATCCATTTACCAAACAGGATCCCAGGCCCTATTGAATTAATTCAGGTGTGAAGTGTAATAGTGCAAGGGTTACTTGTGGCCCAGACAGCGTGTTACTACTGGAGTGAGGGGGTTAAGTGGGACACAAATTCTCTTTTGTGTGTAAACTCTTGGCTGATGCCTGCTTACTCATTGGCTTCTACCCACTGATCAGCTCTGCTACACGCCTAACGACATGGTTCAGCTGACGGTCAGCCTCAGCCCTGGCCACAGGCCAGTCTGCAATCAGTGGGACAAATACTCCCTTTCATATTGCTTGTGTGGCTCATATTCTCCATTTTCGACATGCCCGTTGGATTTAGAGAGCAGAAAGTAAAACACAGCATTCCTGGGCTGGCCACCAACACGTGGGCCTCCTTTTGTTAGTCTGCTAAAGCAGCCCCATTTTGTGGGCTGTAGGATTGTTAGTTCAGCCAAGGGACTGTTTGCTCCAAATGGAAATCAGGCGAGTTCAGGAGGAGGCCACGGACACATTATATAGTGTGCAGGCCAATCCGACAGTCCCTTGTTAGCGCAGTAACATTCAGAGCTCTTTTACATTGTTTA